ATGAGAAGGTTATTGGTCTGACTTCTGCGATTCGTACTTGAACTCTTTATCAGGGACATTCGTAGATAAGGGTACAAGTAGTGCATTATTTATACAAAGCTTTGGCCACTCAATAACTTGCATTCTATAATCACTCGATGGTCCGCATCCGGTTCACCTCATCGTCACCTTCGTTGACTTATGTCACGATGACTACTCTGCACTTTCGCTCGCTGATACTCGAAATAATGTTTGCCCACCCCCCTCTCCTTACTCTTCTGGCAAATTACTTCGTGTAGGTTAAGCTTTAACACAGAGTAAGAACGCGGGAAGTTCTTTTGCGTGTTAATGGCCCGAGAACACCGGCCAACTACTATTTAGGTAGCACATTTACCGGAGCTGGTGCAGTAGTGAACACAAACAACGATCGAGATTATTCCGACAGGGAGCACTGCAAAGTCAGCGGTAATCAAAGAAACTATCTCTTAGATCGCGGCTTGCTTGACGGGACCTGTCTAGAACGTCAGATTTTAGTAAGCCGACGTGACAACCGTGTGAGCGGCCCTGCTACTTGCTCTCGATTGACCAGCCCTCGGTCCATTAGCAAGTGCGAAAACCTCACTCTCTGTCGCTCGCCTTCATATCCAGCACTGAGGCTTTGTCTTGGCAGGGTACCTAGCCGCGCTGAAGGGATGCCGACAATCATAAGTTCTAGTGACAGTCGGGGGAAATTGCAGAGTAGGCATCGCGTAAACAATCAAAGGCGATGAGGAGATTATAGTAATTACCGACGCCGGTGCGAACTGACCAACAATCACAGCAGCCAGTAAGATCCCCAGCTATTAATGCGAGAGCTAATAATAATAAAGCATTACTTCCGGGAAATGCTGCTTCCTGCAAAAATAGCCCTAGCTTCTCTAGGGTAAAAAAGACCATTCTTGTTAACGTTTCTGTCAAAGGTCACAAATTAAGAATGACCATTTACTGCACCTTATGCCGCTTTCATTTACTTTAAACGATTAATTTTGAAACGGCACTAATTATGCCGTCTATCAAATATGTGTGCTGCCATAGCAATTGCCCTCGCGACCCCTTCTTGTTCAACACCTTGCTCTGCTCCTGTCATCGATGGGTATTTCAAATGAGTATCCAAACTTTCGATAATATCGATTTTCAAAT